TTGTTCTTTGTTCTTCTCTTGCTTTGTTTTGTATGTGTTGTTTTGTTTAAAAAGAATAAAAATTTATTTAATTTTTTTTTAAAAAAGAAACCATTGGTTGCCCTCTGACACCACTGGATGACATCGCCAGATCTCGCTGCTTTAGCAGAGTAAGGAAGATACTCAGAGATGATTCATACCCTGGTCAGTGTCTCTTTGCACTTCTACCATCAGGCAGAAGACATCAAAGTATAGCCGAACAAACAGGTTTAAAGATACTTTCTATACTTGGGCTGTGAGTCTTTTAAATACAACCACAATCACTCCATGCACACGCTAGTTTTTTTTTTCTTTTTTCTTTCTTTTTTCGTTTCTGCTATAATTTTGCACCAGTGAGGTTAAAACCAATTTCGTTTTATTTAAGTATAGTGACAATAAAGATTATACTTATACTTATATACTTATAATCAACAAACTCAAGTATGTATCCTCCATAAACAGTTCAGAATTATTAATCCTAACCATGTTCTGCAGTTATAATTATTGAGGAACTCACAAGGATCAATTCAAATACATATAATTTAAAGTTCACCCACTAAGAAGCTGCGGGCATACTAATTCCTTAAATGCAGCTGCCACAAATATCCTTCTACTTCCAATCAGGACATTATTATTCCCATCATTCCCCAGCTTGATAGAGGCATTGCTGGGCCAAAATGCTAACCAGCATAACAAGAACACTAGACTCTCATAATTTTTGCTGTATCTATTTCTCATCTTTCTTTACCTCTGCTTAAAGTCATAGCAGGTAATCATACAACAACAACAAAATGTTGTCATGACGTGTTTGGTAGATGCAGGTGGGAAAGGTTCATCAACTGGAATTCTAAAGTGCTTTCAAAAAATTCACCACGGGGATTGAACTGTGGATGCTCTCTGAGCTAAATTGCCTGTTTGCAGACATTTCATTATACAACTAGATAACTTCATTTGTGAGAAGGAGTGTTGGGTTTTCTACCTGTTTGGATATAAAAGCTTATCTTGTCAGTTTTGGGGGAAAGGGTGTCTCCTTGACAGTTTCTTGATTTTCTCCCTATAACTCTCTAGGAATCAATAAATTATGCTGTTCTGGATGGGATTTAAAATAAAAATTATTGGGATTGCGGTCCTATAGCCTGCAGTGAAATTCAATTAATAGCTGATATCACCTTTTTTTCTTTCTCTTTGGTCTGCAATACAATATTAATGCCAGGTAGTTAACCAAAAACAGCAGAATAATTAAACTACAAATTCTATCTTTAAGAGTAACAAAGCAGACGATTTGATCATTCATTTGCTTTTGGTTATATATTTTAGTTTCAATCTTAGCAGACCTAGTGTTAATGCTAAGAATTGCTGAAGACCCAGAAGAGAAACAACATCTCAGCTTTGCTTTTAACATGTTTTTTTTTGCCATTAAGAAGACCTATTCTACAAGTTCACATTCAAATGAAAAAAAAAACAGCTTGAGCACTGAGAACACAATTATATTTTGAGCTGAATTACTTAGTAATTTGCACAAATTCAATTTGCATATTTATTTCTTTGAATGAAATCTCATTTCTGGTGATATTAGAGTACCAGACTAAAAATAAATTTAAAAATGCAAATTAGCTCTGTATTTTTACCCTGCTTGGTAAAGTATTAGACGATATAGAGCACAAATGACTATTTGGACTGAGACAGAATTTATATGGCACAGAGATAAATGTATTGATCAAAGGACGAGATAAACTCCAGGGATAGTTGTTAAGGCTATGCAACTTTTGCATGATCCTTTCCATATCTTCCCATTTTCAAACAGTTATTTTTGTTGTTCTTGGTTGCGAAGTCATGTCCGACCCATCGCGACNGAGTTGAAGTCCACAAGTCTTAAAGTTGCCAAGTTTGGGGACCACTGGCATAAGGCACAGAGTTTGCTTTGTTATGTTATGACATGTGTTGTCTTCATGTCTCCTTTGCTCTTTTACACAGAACAATAGACCAAAACATAGATGACAGAGAAAGAGAGGGATGGATGTCATAGCATCTTGTTAGATTGTGAAATTTGTTGGAAACCATTGGAGAGCTTTCAAAGGAGACTGAACAGGTTCATCAAAGAACAGGCTATCAATGCCTACTAATATCGAAGGTTCTCAGCATCCTGCCTTAATACTGGTTGCTGAAAAGTAACAATACAAGAGAATACTTGCTCACCAAACCTGTGTGCCAAATGCATGTAGCTGATCAATTGTGACAAAAATGCTGGGTTTAATCAGGTTAATATAATGATAGTAATATATAATGATATAATGATAATAATAGCCTGTGTTTGATAAGGTTCTTTGTATGATATGCAGCTTCTGAAACATAAAGCTTGAGATTAATCATTTGTCATCCCACCTAGAAGCAGTGTTAAGTTGGTTGAAATCAGAGGTATATAGGGAACAGTGTTCACTGTTATGCCTCATGTTGGCCCTGGGAAAGGGTGTTCCTTAAACCCTCTTTTGTCAAATGCGTCAAACAGTTTAGAATGCTGCGTGTATGCTATGAAGACGATGATTGCACATTTCTCCTGATACAGCAAATTTCCTTTGATGGCTCAGGTTAATTTAGCTAGGATTACTGACACTAATTCTATGACATCCGATGGCTTAACTGGAGGGCTCTTTCGCCACCTCCCGGAATTACTGACACTAAGTACCAGTTACTTGAGCCAGAAGTTTGCATTTTATTGACGAAATGTTTCGCCATGTCAATAAAATGACAGTAAGCCACCCACAGCTTGTGCATAAATATTATATAAACTATTTAACATACTGGCATCAAAATTAAGATGCCAAACTGAATAAAAAAAATGAATTGTGGTCTTTTCTGGAGGCTGACACATTATGCATTAATCACCTGAAGTTTCTTATTCGGGCAATTTACAAGCGTGGATTTTTCCAATAATAGGCCCCATCTGGGCATTGGTTCATAGTTTTTTGATATATGACTAAGACCTTTAGATTTTCTCCTCAGGCAACAGAAAATGCAACTCAAAGCAAAATCCCATGAATTCTGAGTGCCAGAATGAAACAACAAAAGGAAAAAAGGAAAATAGTATACTGTATTATCTGATGTTGGAATAATAGAAATGTGACTAGATAATCCAGTATGAAAACATAACAATATTAAGGCTGGCTGAAATTCTATAAATGCTTCTATTGGCATAATTGCTATTGAATACAACAGGATTCAACTCTGAGTTAAAATAAAGATACCAACAGGACAATCCTTTGCATGTCCTTTGATGCTCAATTGTTCCTTTTAACATTTTCTGACTTTAGCGGCATTCCATACAAATCTGCCAATGTATTCCATAATCTGAATTGGTAGCACTTATGAACAAATGAATTATAGTCCCATTAGCACTTTCAGAATCATCTATTTTTAATACCTATGCTTCATCCTTGTGTAACTCAAAATGACCTGGGCAAAATCTTATTTTTAATAGGACAAAGGTTTTGGACTAGGAGCCTGACATATTATTATTACTATGTTCAATCAGTGAATCTTTTTTCTAAATCAGCATACTCAGGAATTGAGTCTATTTGTCTATTTGTCTAGTCTTTCTAGCCTATCTGAGACTAGACATTGGCTACTGATTGCAAATACACATATATCCAAAATCAATGGAACATTCGAAAAGGAATATAACTTCTATATGTCTTGCATTTAATCGGATAAACATTAATCCTGATCCTATATAACATATTTTTGAGGTTCTGCACCATCATAGGAGATGAATAAAAGCAGAGTTTGTTAAAGTATTTTGATTTTTTTTTACATTGATTACCACCTTTTGCTAACTGAAGGGCTGGCTAGAATCTCAGAACGTCCTTATTTATAAGAGGGAACAGCCACATATCAATGTACTATAGCTAGTAATGATACAGAAATAGTCAAGTAGCTATTATGAGATTTGTGTGCAAATGAATTGAGGAGTGCTGACTGAAACCGTATTTGATGTCTTTAACAGCTTAAAGGCTTTCTAAAGAGAAAATGCTATAGTTGGCGTAATTATTAGAAGTGAATGAAGCAAGTTGTTATTTTTATGCCATTGATTTCTTACATTTCCTGTATTAGCAGTTTAAAGTAGGTACTGCTGAGACAATCTTCAACGCATCAACACTTTCCAGAGCTAGAGTCCTTATCCAAGATTTCTTGCATGTAAGAAAGTCCCTTTAAAGCAAGCAAAGTTGAATTCAAGGAAGTTCCTCTGACATTCAGACAAACTCAGCANGGTTGGGGGCTACTGTTTTAAACCACCGGTTATAAATAATAGTTCATAATTTTTAAACTTGGATTTTGGCAATTGGCCATTTGAGAGCCAAATCTGGGCTCCCAAATTTTTAAAGTGTCAAATATAGCACCAGAGGCAACTGGAAAAATACTCAGAATTGCCTATTTTTAAATAGCAGAGATGAAACAGAGAATTATAATACACCTTCAAAAAATATTTTAAAGGAAGACATTTTTAAAGTGTTACTATAAGTTTTTCCTTGTATAATATTGATAGTGTCTCACTTAAAAAAAAATCCTTTGAGGACAAAATTCAAATAATTTCAGCAGTTCATCATCAACATTTGATGTAACTGAATTTTCTTGTTCTTTTGCCTCTCCTTTTGCCTCTTCTCTGACTTTAAAAGGATTGCACTCTTGCAATATGAAAACCAACTGAAATTCATCTACGTTTTAGCTTGAACCCATTTGCATTTCACCAAACCTTTTCCTGCACTTCACAGCCCCTAAAATGATGAGCCTCAAAGTGAGGATGAGGTTATGGATTGTACTGTTTTGCAAAAGAAAACAAAACAAGTTCCAAAGAATACAAATTTCATGGTAGCTTGCTTTTGTTTTAATTAGCTGGAGAATTAATGTCCCTCTCAACTCAGCCCGACTTTCGCTCAATTTATTTATTTGTTTTTCTTACCAGTTACCGTGGTGCTGTTTGCCGCACTGAGACGGCAAAGGAAGAAAGAGCCTTTGATCATCTCTAAAGAGGACATCCGAGATAACATTGTCAGTTACAATGACGAAGGCGGCGGAGAGGAAGACACTCAAGCCTTTGATATTGGCACGCTGCGGAATCCTGAAGCCATAGAGGACAATAAGTTGCGCCGAGACATTGTGCCAGAAACGCTGTTCATGCCACGCCGGACTCCAGTGGTACGAGACAACGCTGACGTCAGAGATTTTATTAGCCAAAGGTTAAAGGAGAATGATACAGATCCAACTGCACCCCCTTATGACTCCCTAGCCACATATGCATATGAAGGCAGTGGCTCAGTGGCGGACTCTCTTAGCTCTCTGGAGTCGGTGACCACGGATGGAGACCAGGACTACGATTACCTCAGCGACTGGGGGCCTCGTTTTAGGAAGTTGGCCGATATGTATGGTGGCGAAGACAGTGATAAAGACTCCTAATTATGTTGCCTTTTCCTTTTTCAAGAAACAGCAGTGAAATGTGTGATGTCGATACTTCTTTCTATATATCAACCATTCTCGGAAAGGGTTCTCTAAACCTATTGGTTGAATTGTTTCTTGACTGCAGTCTTTGTGGATCTAATGTCATTCCCACTGTAATTTCAGCTTCCAAGAGAGGAAGAAAACCCCACAAAAACCTTTGTTATTTTTTCCAATCACGTTTTTATTTAGGCAGTTCAACGGCCAAGCGGCGAAGCAATTGAGGGAAAACCCTCCCAAAACAGATATGGAATACTAGTTTTAATATGTTTCTGCTAATTTTGTAAATGGGATTATCTTAATGTTATAGCTCACCAAATAACCTATATTTTAATGATTCACCCAAGACACATTTTTATGCAAATTATATAATGAGCACCCTATTTTAAGGAAATGGTATGGCTTATCATATATTATAGAAAAAGAGTGTAGGTCTCTTAAAAGCTACAAGGGAGCTACAGGTTGTTCTCACTTAACAAACACTTGTTCAGTGGCATTTGAAGTTACAATGACACTGAACGAGGGGGTTTATGGCCAGTCCAAGCCTTGGAGTTGGGCCATAATAGCATCCCTATGATCACTTGATCTCAATTTGGGCCTGTTGCAGCATCCCATAATCATGTGACCATCATTTTCAACCTTCACTCTGGCTTCCCACAAACAAAATCGATAGACTTGCAAGAGTAAATTGAAAGTAACATTTGGCTTAATGACCATGCGGGATTCATTTAACAACACAGCTGGAAGTGCTGGAACTGCCATGTGAAGTTGGCCTGGTCAATGTGATGATTGGCTTTACAACTGCCTCACTTAACGATGGGCTTGTTGGTTCCATTTATTGTCATTAAGTGGCAACTACCTGTAAGATACTTTTAAAGAAATTCAATGGTCTTTTGAATGCTAGGGTTAATTTTGAATTGGTCACTTTCCTCAAACTATCAAAACATAATAATAATGGACAATCAGAAGTTAGAAGAAAGGAGAGAGATGTTTGTGTATATATATATGTGCCTGGTAAGTGGTCCTAGCCAATTGGGTACGAGGGCTACAGTAATGTACTTTAAGAGATATTCTATTCCTGGAAAGTAGTCTGTTAGATAAGGTAATGTATAGGGATTGTAACAACGTGTATCAAGAAAACTGAGTATTGCTGAAAATATGTATTTATTTCAAGTAAACCAACTTAATAATAATAAGAGTAGAATAATTGAAATCAATGAATTTCAAGTTAGAAATATCTAAATTAATTCCCACTGATTTTAGTCACTCTGTTTTCAGCAGGAGTAAGTCTGAGTCCGATCTATAATATATAAAGAGGGTTCCTAATCTGTATTTTGTGAGCTCAATTCATATTAATTATTGCTCAATACCATTCATATCGGCAAAACAAAGGCTGTTATGTTCTCTTTATCATTCGCCACTTGCTCAGCTGGTGGATTGCTGCTATTTCTACCTCCTGCTTCTTAACAAAATACTCTGGTACTAGAGCCTAGGATTAAGCTGACAGTAGGTACTATATTGTGCAGCAAGGAAAAGACATGGGAGAAATAAGGAACTAGTCCCAAGGGAATGCCTGGCTAAGCAAGCAGCCAGAAGTTGCATTTGATACAACCTCACCTTCCAATAATAATCCAGTTGAGGACTGGTTCATGCTGCGAGGTGGCGCAAGTGGTTAAATGCAGCACTGCAGGCTACTTCAGCTGATTGCAGTTCAGCAGTTCGGCTGTTCAAAT